CAAAAAAAAATTTGAAAGTTCCTACGTGCGACTGTTAGGGCCTTCCAGGAGAGAAAATGGGTTCGGCCTATTCTGAGCGACACGAGCAAGCAGTATTGGTTGCCAATACTTGAACTCTGCTGCATAACTCCAAGAAGAAGAAGGTTCCTGACTTCGTTGAAGGCGTGTTTTACAGAAGGATGTTCCCCGATAACAAAGTGAGAAGATGGCCGTGGTTGGCAACAGATGGGCAGCTGAGGGCCTCTCCGAAACCGGACAGCCACAGAGAAAAAGTCTTGCTGCAGTATGGTGAAGCAGTATAAGAATGGCTTACTATGGAGAGCTGATTGTGCGTCATATAGTTACAGCTAAACTCTGCGCACAACATCCCGCAGGCGAGGGTCGGGCTCTACGTAGTCAAAGGGCAAATTCGGTCATTGAAACATTTTGGCACGATAATGCAAGATCACATGTCGCGAAAATTTTGCAACAAGAAATCGAGGAGTTGGGCTGGGACGCTCTCCCTCTCGCGCCATATAGCTCAGACCTGGCACCCTCCAACTATCACTGACTCAGGTCAGCGCAATACTCCTTAGCAGCAAACCAATTTGATAACCGCGACGACCTCATAATTTGAGTACCTAACTTCTTCGAGTCGTACCTGGAAGAGTTCTACGAGGTAGACCTCCTTGCCTTGCATAGGAAAAGGTGGAGAGTGGATGATACACATAAACGAAATAAATTAGGTTGATAAGCTTTGGTATAGCTTTTATACTTAAGATAATCTTTGATCAAAAACGACATTTCAAAGTTACCAACTAAATAGTTATAAAGGTTTGTGTGCATGCATAAGTGGAGGATTTTCTCATTTGTACTGCATGCACACCGTAGCTGAATAGCGTTAGAGACATGAGAAATTCTGAAAAACTTTAGGATGGCATAAGCAATTGACGCGGCCCATTTTCTTCAAAAGAACAGAGCAATTCAAATCCACGCGTTAACCAAAATCAAACAACACCATTTTCCTAGTTTTCCGACACGCCGAAAACGATGGTTGCTATGCCGATTTACGAAATTTCCAAATAAGTCAGAAAACTGAAAAAATCAGGGGGTGGCATATACAATTGACGCGCACTGTATTCTATTTGTATATTCAGTTACTCCCTATATACGTTATGAGCCTCCTTACTCTTGATTCACTGCATTCGTCTACATAGTGCCTTTCCAGCGTTGAAACAACGTGCTCCAATAATAATAATAATATAAGGCAGAAAGCCTTTTGCTAGGATTCGCTGGGCAGCAGACTACGGGTACGTGCTCCAATCACTCACTATAGGACGGCCGCACTATTCACTTCGTGCAGTATCCGACGTAAGTTTCTTATTCATTGAAACTGGCCTGTTCTACCTAATTTTGTTTCCTTTTTTTCACGACATTGTTTTCCTTTCTTCACGTTTAACCTCTTAATCTTTCATCCCATCGACTATCAGTTCCTTTTTGTCTCCACCCTTCTGTCCTCATTTAAAGGACGAATTTACGATGGAAAAGCAACCCATTCCAAATTGAGGTAGAGATGGTGAGTAGTACCAGAAAGAAAGCGAAACCACGAAAAACGGCCCAGAACCGGAGAAATGGGACCCCTTCCTTGTCCGTTGATTTGAGCATTGATGGGACTCTCATCGCTTTGCCCTCTTCAACCCTACGCTCTCTCAGCTATCTAATCACTCGCCACCTATTGTACTACGGCGAGTGATCAGACGATCGGTGGGCGGAGATCGCCGAACTCGCCAACTTTGAGCCATGCTAGATCTCAGAGGTCAAATCTTTCGATGCCGATTGCGTGTCTGTCCGCACCCTCAAGAGATTCACCGCTCTCCCCACTAGGCGATTTCTCCCTTCTTCGACCTTCGTTCTTTCCGTGCAATCCTCCTTTAATCTTACTTATTTCATCATACATTGACATTACATATTGACTCCTCTTACTAGTCGATATAATTTGTGGTCTGACCTAGTCTTTGTTCTCTAGTCAGCCTTGTTTTTTATCCAGTCTTTTATTTCTAGTTTTATATCTTCTAGTCGTAGTAGCTTTAGTTAGTGTCTCTTTACTTTCTTATTTGTTTGTAAATTATTAGGTCTATATTTTTCTATTTTTTCTATCTAACTTTCTGTTTTTCATCAACCCTCTCTCACTGATGAGCCCCGGGGTTGATGAAAACAATGTGGTTCGTCTGAGTTTAGGGGCGAAACGAACCACTTTTTATATTTTTTTAGAATATTTATTGAAAAATTGTTTATTTTTTCTGTTTTTGTTATTGTCGAGGGAGTGGGTCCAGATGCTATTGATGGGCGCCACCGGGAATTTGCGGAGCTTCTCACGGTGAATTATAAAAGCATCAATGGCTCCGTTTCATACCAATGCAGTCCCGTGTGATGCACGCGACTGCGTGCGCAGCTAAACTGGTGTAATATATAAGCTCTAGTCTGTGTGTGTCACGAAATTTGGCATTACTCCAAGAACCACCGGGCTTTGGCTGGGTGGGGCACGGGTTGAAGTATAAGAGACATATCACATGGGCGAAGCTCTGCCCACAGTGGGCGGGGGGGGGTACGTCGAAATGAGCTGTGCTGAGAACCAAGATTTAATTCAACTCCACAGACTCGAGACTGGGGAAAAAGTGGGTAAAGGTGTGCATTGGTAAGCAACATCGAATTAGGGAGACCCACCCCCGGTGGGCGGGGCGTTCTCCAAAAAAGCAGTGCTTTATGAAAAATTTCATAACTCGGTTGGAGAAAGCCTACAGAGCAGAAAAAATAGTGTGGGAAAGCAATGTCTACGGTGTTCCCAGCAGGGCCAACCGCTCGTCGTGCAAAGAAATAACGAGGGGTCGTATTCGCCAATGGAAGAGGAGGACTATCGTAACCTCAAGTCCATTCACAAAATTAGAAGCTGCCAAGGCGTGGCTAAGTGGCAAAGGAGGACAGACTTTCAACTGCCACTGCGACTACGCACCACAGACGATTGAATGGCGCATCCTAGAGCGAGATTTCTTACTGAAATACGTCATGTTCCATCCAGTGAGCACAGGCGAGAAAATTTTTCTAGAGCAAGCCCCATGCTTTTAGATTATGATTATGATTGATTATTGGTGTAATTGCAAACATAGATCAGATCAAAGTGGAGGAAGGTGTAGCGCATTTGGCTGGTTGACCTCAGGAGTACTAATAGAAACTTATGGCAGGAGAAAGGTTTTCTTTCAAGATAATCTAGCGTCTGCTATATAGTACTGATCTCTTTGTGATTTCAGTGGTCTTTACCTTCTCAATGTACCGACTTTGAAGAAACTTATGGCCATTTGAAGGTTGAAAAGTCGCGTTTCAAGAGAATGGCCTAAAAAAGCCATTGAGGGAGCAACGCTGGTATTTTATAAAATTAATGGTATGAAGTATTATCGTTATGTTCGAAACGTTATCGAGCAACCATCCCCTTACCGGTCTATGGTACGAATTGAATTTAATAATGTTGATTATTATGCGTCATGTTGTTCAGATGGGATCCACAATCGTGTCGCTTCATAGCTCGTTCTATGGACAGCCGTCTAAGGCTCTATCAACTTGATTGACCGAAAGGAGCGAACGAACTACTTCCAGGAATAAAACATTTTCTTTCCATAATGACCAAAACTGTTGTAATATGCATCAACACCATCATAAATATTATGTTTTTTTTTTTCGATGAAACTTGATGCGAAGTGCCACTGGTTAACCTTATTTCCATTGTTTTAGTTCTTGACACTTCAACTTCATTTTTTTCACTTCATTTCAATTACCTTTGAAGTAGCAACACATGGTACAGTGATTTTTATTGAACTTGAATCCATTGTTTCATCAGACCTACTGTTAATGAAACATATAGTATGCTGTCGCTGACGTATGATGCGGTCAAACGCTTTCCTGCACCTTAACAAGTGGGAGATCGTTCGGTTTTCGGCCTTTCAGCCAAAGACCCTTCGAAACCATTGTAAAATATTGCATCAAAGAAATGTGTGGGAAAAATAATTGAGTCTACGTCCTCTCTAAAATAATAGCGTCTCATTGAGGACTGATGGAACGGTTTGCCACGATGGTTTGTAGTGAAATCTTTATTTCGGCCCAAACGTTTCGACTTCACGTCGTTTTTCAAAGGATCTCAGGATCACCGCCTAGAGCTGTAGGCTACATCAGTAGTACATTAGTAGCGATTCGCTGCCACTTTACTACACTCTAGCGATGTATCCTTGAAGCCTTTGAAAACGACGTGAAGGTCGAAACGTTGGCCGAAATAAAGATCCCACCTACAAACCTCGTGGCGGAAGCATGAAGAACACAATAATATGAGCATGCCGAGGTTTCACGATGACAGAACCTGGGGTCTACTGATGGGAAATCTTTGGGATGCTAGAATGACATCAAAGCGTCGCCAAATAGCGTTATAGCGGCGCTACACAAGTCGGCAACAAAAGTAAGCGTAATACTGTAATCAGGGCACAAAATGACCCTTACAGATTCTAGAGAGATCAAGTTTTTAACCTGACTCGGACATAAGACTTAACACATATTCCACGAACAGCTTTCAGACATTCATCCTATGTATAAATGAGAAAGCAACGATTGTATGCCGGCTAAAATTCGAACAATATTCGAAGCCTTCAATGAATGGTGCAGATCAACATTTTCTGTCCACTTCAATGCCTGATTTTTTTCACGCGTTCATGACAAAATTGTTTTATTACTCAGTTGGCGGAGGGATGACATAGATGCAAACGCAAAAAAAACGAGCATGAAGTTCAAGGGAGTTGAACAAAATCTATTGACCAAAGATAGTTGAAGTCGCGTAGTCCACTCACAAATGACAGTGATGGATCACATAGTTCGAGAACCCGTTTAGCATCTCTAACTGCGTGAATGTGGCCAGCACCCTAAATGAACAAAGACCTCAGTTGGGTTCAGTCGTAGCTGGACTATAACGAAGCTCCGCACGGTCAGCTCTGCAAGTTCTCGTCCTCAGCAGCAGGAATTCGTAGATGACGTCGACGATTTGGATGGAAACCAAAGAGTAGTAGATGATCATCACCGAAAGCCCTGGGAGTAAGATCTCAAAAGTCTTACACGTACACATAAAGCGCATTATTAAAGTACCTGTAATAAGCGAAACAGCGGCGTATAGCCAGCAGCTTCACTTTGTTAAGCGAAACTGTTACAGAACCGCTTCCTTCAACAATTTGTGAAGAAAATCTAAACACATTAACGAATTTATCGCGAGTACAGAAGGGTTCTACCAATATATTTCAGAAACTTGCAATAGCTTCAATCGCTTCAACAGTGTACGCTGCTGTATACCTCCACCTCGTCGATCCATCAGCCATATTGAAAGGAGTGAATGTATGAATCGCAGCATTGATCCACATTAATCCCTCCTCCAGAACCCTAGACGAAGTTTCCAGCGGCTAAAAATTTCATTAAACAGGTGTTTTTGGTAGACATAAATTGAAAATGTTAGAAGGGACTTAGTGTTTCTATAAAATTCTCTACCTGTAGCGCTTTGATGTGCGCGCTAAAGAAATCAGAAAATGAAAGGCCAGAAACGGTATGACGTGGAACTTATAAGATGACACTGACAGCACGATGACGATGAATCGTGAAAATATCGTCATGGATCGCCACAGAAGCTGAAATGCAATGGAAGTTTACTAATTCCTAAAAAGAAGCAACTCTGGAGGTGAAAAAATTGTTTGTTCCACTCTACACTCCTGGATGGATACTTTTAAAGAATACATTAGCAAGGGAACGATGGTAGGCCGAAGGAGCTATTCGCGATGAGAAATTAAATGAGGATTCCCACACATCCTCGAAAGGGCGAAACGATGCTCCTTCCGCAGCGAAGGGTATTCCCCTATCGCCCTGGCAGGGCCATACTCACACCGCTCACGCCGCTGCCCGCCCAACCTCTAGCACTCTGTCTCCGACCGTCAAAT